AACGAGACGTTACCTACAGGGCTCTCCAGAGGGCTGCTGATTCACCAGGGCATGCTTATTTTGTTCTCTGCCTCCTATTTCCTTAGCAACAATCCATTTGCTTGACTGGACTCCAAACTCCTACTCGGAGTCAGCTCTTCCAGTTCATTTACACTGCATCTGAGCAAAGATTATCTGGAACCCTCCCCTGTGTGCTACCACTGGGACCCAGAGAAAAAAAATTAATGGGGTTAAGAAACAGTTTCATGTGTTAAAATAAGCTGTGAGCTAGTGAAGGTCAAAGGTTTCTGCAGAATTGTTTCATAGACAGTTTCTGTTTATCAAATAAGAGGTGAGTGTCTTGGCCAGTTAAACACCCTGTAAATAGAACTTGAAAATTAAAAGGAGAGAGCCCAAAATGTTCTGATGGATTCTGACTTAAATCAAGGCAGGTAACAAGTTGATATCCACGAGAATCATCCACGTTGACTTGTTATCAGAGCAAACAGACAGGTCAGAGAGGAGCTGCCCGGGCTGGGCCAGGAGCAAGGGGATGTAATGATGCCAAAAGAGCCCTTCAGCCAACCCCAACCTTCTGCTGAACAGAAACCATCCCTGTTTAGGGACCACGGGAGGAAAGAGGGGGATTTCTGTGTGGAGAGAGGTGATTTACTCAGCTCCTATCATTGCTGCTAGCACAGAGACATCTGGAAAGCAGCAGCACCCTGCCAAGGGCCCAATTCCAGTCACAGGCACAGCCCGGAGCGTTATTAACTGGCTGGGATTTAACACAAGGCTTCCGAGGGCAGCCTCGGGCTTTGGGATGTGTTAACACCCTCCTTTGTGGAGCAAATCCCTCCTCCTGGTGGCTGAGGCTCCGCACATGATGGATGACTCCGGGGGAAGAGCAATTCCCCTCCTGGCAGGAGGGAGGGATGGCTCAGAGAGCTTGCCAGCCTCACAAGCCTGTTGTCGCCGCTGCCTGCAGCTCCCTCTGCCATCAGGCAGACGTGAGGAGTTTCACAAGAGCCCCACACGCTGCTGTGGCTGGAAACACTGCTCCTCACACAGCACCGGGGCAGACAAGGGGTTTTTTGAAGATGTAAATCACTCTGTGAGGTGAAGCCTTGAGGCGTTTTTATTAGCATGTTAAGTTCAGACGGTTCAGAAGCCAAAGCGCTCCTGCTCTCCCCCAAAACGTGCAAGGGAATCAGGTTTTCTAAGCAACACTTGGAGTTTTGCTGTAGCTCTTTCAAACCCAAGCTCAAACGAAGCCAAACAAACACTGATTTAAAGGGCCCTGAGCAACAAAGAGGGGGAACCATCACCACAGCCGAAGGGAACTCGCCCAAACCCAGGAGCTGCCTTTTCCTGCAGCCCCACTCCAGGCCAGGGACACCCATCCCATGGGACTCTGGGCTGGTTGTCAGGATCCAAAGCGAGGAGTTTCTAAGGAGCAGATGAAGAGCAAGGAGGAGGAGGAGGAAGGAGGAGGAAGGAGGAGCAGAGCTACACTGCAGGCGAGCAGCCGCTACGGAGGTTAGAGGGAGCTCGATTAGTGCTACGTAAAGGGACACTGCCAAGGCCTGTCAAGGGACACCACCCGAGCCCTGTGGGGGCCAGACAGAGGGGGCACCAAGTGCTGTCCCCCACGGTGTCCCCCCAGCACATGCCCCGTGGCAGGCTCAGGCAGGCAGCCCATGGCCCACACCGTGCAGCCCTGAGCGTGGTCAGCTCGCAGCTCCCGCCCCGGAGGGAGGGGTTAAATTCTCAAATCCAAGCTCAATCCAGGAGTCAGTGTCCTTTTAGTATTTTTTTTTTGGGGGGGTAGAAGGGGGTTTTTTGAGCCTGTAACCAAGCAGTCAGTACCTGTGTCTGCGATCCCAACATAAAAGCAGCTGAAAAGAACAGAAGAAGGCAAATCAAAGTCAAACCAGTCCCTCCAGCGAGCAGCGCCAGCAGAGAGGGGCAGTAACGGAGGCAGGAGGGCAGTTAAACAGGGTGAGACTCGTGGTGGTGGCAGGGGACCTGCCAGCCCAGCCCATGGGGGAACGAGCACTGCCCTCCACTTACTTGAAGTACAGGTCCTTGAAGGTGAAGTGAGTCTCCACGATGCCCGTGGTTTTAACCCTGGTGCGCAGGACGTCCTGCTGGGTGGGGATGTAGCTCGGCTGGGATATTCTATCCAGGTCGTTCAGGTAACTGAACCAGAAGAGACAACACAAGAGGAGCTTTTTTTAGTCTGCGTGGCTCGCCATGAATCTTTTATGAACTGCAGAACAAAGTCAGCACGGAATTTATTCCCCATCCCCACCCAGCACAGACCTCGGAAGGAAAACACCCCCCCGGGGTCCATCCCGGGGTTGGTTTTGGGGGAGGGGGGGTTTGCTTTTAACCCCTCCCTGCCTGACCTTGTGGGGTGTGCTGGGTAGAGCTCGGGGAGCTGGGGAGTGAAGCCTGATAAGGAGGCAGCACGGGGAGTTCTGCTGATGCAGAAGCTGTGCCAAGACCCGTATCTCTCGGGGCAATTCAAAGCAGTCAAGGTCTTTTGCATCAAAGCAGGAGGTAATAAATCCAGTGGCTTGGTTTTAAAGGGCAAGGATATGTCAAACAAAGCATGAGGAGGGAATTAAGAGTCAACAACTACCCCTAGAACAGGCAGATTCATCTTTTAGCAGGGCAGACTAACCCAGGATGCCCAGCAGATGCCCACAGCCTGGCTCTGGGGCTCTAAGGCAATGTGCCCGTGGAACCCCCAGCTACAGTGGGTGCCCCTGGAAGGGGGGCTCTAAAGCAATGTACCCCTGGAGCCCTCAACTACAGCGGGTGCCCCTGGAAATGGGGCTCTTGGGGGTGGAAATGAAAGGTCCCCATCATTGCCAGCAGTGTCAGAAATCCTGCTCCAGCCAGCAACACCTCTGAGCTCACTGCTCCTGCTAAAGGGAAGGTGAGAGGTTCCTGCTTCCCCAGAGCAGCCCAGGATCACTCCAGCTCTGTCAGGAAGGGACCGGCCACGTTTCCCAGGAGTGGTTTTTAATCGGTGCAGTGACGTGTAGCTGAGAGATTTCAGCTCTGTGCTGCTGTCATAAACCCTCCCCTGCCAGCCAAATGATGTTATCACAGATCCACTGTCAGCCAGGGATTGCTCCTGCCCAGGCACCAGATGCTGTGCCAGGAATCCCAAATTTCTGCTCGCCTTCATCACCGAGTGACATCTTATCACCCCCAGGAGCTCCTGACAGGAGGCTGGAGCTACCTGTGGGTCAGGCTCCTCTCCCAGGGAACAAGAGGAAACAGCCTCAAGTTGCCCCAGGGGAGGTTTCAGTTGTCCCTGAGGAACAATTTCTTGCCCTGGAGGGTTGCCCAGGGCTGTGCCAGGCTGCCCAGGGCAGTGGTGGAGTCCCCACCGCTGGAGGGGTTTCCAAGCCGTGGAGATGTGGGGTGAGGGACACGGGGCAGTGGGGACCTGGCAGGGCTGGGGGAAGGGTTGGACTCGAGGATCTTAAAAGGTCTTTTCCAACCCAAACAGTTCTGTGACTCCACGAGCATCTCCCTCTCCCCTGGCCAGGGCCTGCAGCTCACTTGCAGAGCTCTGCCCCATTTCCCAGGCCCCAGCAGGCTCCAGCCTCCTGCCCGTGCCTGCCCAGCCCCACAGGGCTCTCCTCAGAGGGCTGAGTTCTGCCAGCAGCTTCAGCCCAGAACAGCCCAACTCCTCTCACCTCTCTCATTTTCAGGGGGCTCACAGGTTTGAGAGCTGCTCTTTCACCAGAAACACAGCACCCAAACCCTACTCTTGGAACTGGCTTTAGTTTCAGCTTAGTCAAAGAGAATTTGGAAGGTACTGACCTCCCTTAGGCTTCTGTTATGAAATATTTCTGCTGAAATAACACACCCAGTTTTCTTTCCCCCTCTCTCTCCCCTCCCAGTATGAGTTGAGGTGGGATTTGCTGGTTCACAAGCTGATGGGAGCATTCCCTAAGAACTGACCCAGGGACTCCAACACTGCAGGCAGGAGAAGGGGCATAATTCCTACTGGAGCCAGTGAACAGAGCCAGGGGCCTCCCAGCAAGCAGGGCAAAGAGAGCTGCCAGGGTAATGGTGCTCTGCCTGCAAGCTGCCTTCAAAACTGCACTTTGCCAGCCTAATTCCAGAGGGACTCAAAGGGCAAAACCCATGGAAATGCCTAAAGAGCTGGAAAATCCAGCCCAGAGGGTTTCTTGGTAGCAGGAAAGCTGCCCAAGGACACATGTGCAGCCTCCCACATCCTCATCCTCACAGGATCCAGCATGGTGGGGTGGGAAGGGACCTCTGGAGATCATCTCATCCAGCCCCCCTGCTCCAGCAGCTCCCCCACAGCAGGGTGCCCAGGGTCACAGCCAGGCGGGTTTGGGATCTCTCCAGAGCAGGAGACTCCCCAGCCTCTCTGGGCAGCTGCTCCAGGCTCTGCACCCTCACCCCAAAGAAGTTTCTCCTCCTGCTCAGGTGGCACCTCCTGGGTTCCAGTTGGTGCCCGTTGCCCCTTGTCCTGTCCCTGGGCACCACTGACCAGAGTCTGGCCCCAGCCTCTTGCCCCCCAGGGCCCTTTAGCTCTTGCTCAGCACTGCTCAGATCCCCTCTGAGGCTTCTCCAGCTGAACAGCCCCAGGGCTCTCAGCCTGGCCTGGCACAGAGATGCTCCAGCCCCTCAGCAGCTTCACAGCCTCCCCTGGACTCTCTCCAGCAGCTCCTTGTCCCTCTTGAACTGGGGAGCCCAAAACTGGACCCAGTACTCCAGAGGTGGCCTCACTGGGCAGAGTAGAGGGGCAGGAGAACCTCCCTGGAGACACAGAAGGCAGCTGTGCCCACCCATCAAAACCAGGCTGCCAGGTCCAGTTCCTGCAGGCTGCTGCTTGTTCCCCTCTACCACACACAGAGTTCGTGGAACTTGTTCAGAAAAAGAAACCCCAAACAACCCAACTGGAAATGCACAGTCTGGAGACTGATGGGTTTGAACGCCGTGTAACCCACAGCCTGCCTCAGTCTGTGAAAATGTGAAGCTGTTCCTCTGAAATATGGGCTGGGGAACTGAGAACACACCTCAGTGACTCTTCCACCCTCCCCCGCAGTGTGAATCCCTTCTCAGAGCCTCCCTCATCCCCAGGCTCCCTTCACACGCTGAGGTTGCAACACTCCTTCCCCACCTTGGAGCCTTGTGTTTACAGAGCCAACTGTTTCTCATGCTCTGACAGCACCTTGCAAACACCAGCTTGCAAAAAGGCAGCTTTGGTTTGCTTCCCTTTTGGGTTTAAGGGTGAAAAAAGAGCTTGAGTACAAAAAAAACCCAGCTGACCAAAAAGCTCACGGTGTAACTGCTGTTTGTCTGGGTGACCCTCTGAGTGTTGTCAGGACATCCTGCTTCAGTTCCTGCATGTGCAAGGATCTGTTGTTCCTTCCTGACCCAAAACCCACCAGCTTCAGTGTCAGCCCACCTCCTGCTCTAAAAAACCCTGACTGCAGGAGCAGCATGTTCTGAACTGGACAGCTTCTGAGTGGTGGAAACCACAGAAACCAGCACTGTGGGGTGGGAAGGGACCTCTGGGGATCATCTCATCCAACCCCCCTGCTCCAGCAGCTCCCCCACAGCAGGGTGCCCAGGGTCACAGCCAGGCAGGTTTGGGATCTCTCCAGAGCAGGAGACTCCACAGCCTCTCTGGGCAGCTGCTCCAGGCTCTGCACCCTCACCCCAAAGAAGTTTCTCCTCCTGCTCAGGTGGCACCTCCTGGGTTCCAGTTGGTGCCCGTTGCCCCTTGTCCTGTCCCTGGGCACCACTGACCAGAGTCTGGCCCCAGCCTCTTGCCCCCCGGGGCCCTTTAGCTCTTGCTCAGCACTGATCAGATCCCCTCTGAGGCTTCTCCTCTCCAGCTGAACAGCCCCAGGGCTCTCAGCCTGGCCTGGCACAGAGATGCTCCAGGCCCCTGGAGCCCTAGCAGATCCCAGAGCTCCCCTCCTCCCCGTGAACCCTGGAGTGACACTGCCCTAACAATTCAGCCATGTTTCCTTTTCACACTGCAAATGAGGCTTTCCAGGCCAAAAAAATGCCTCTGAAAGCTTCATACAAAGCATTTATTATGAAGGACTCTCTGCAGCCAGAGCTACAGGGAGGGGGGGGGGCTGGCACCAGCAGAGCAGCAAACAGGGAGAGGGAGATGAGAGGGCAGAGATGCAGGGCTGGTACCCAGGGGGGCTGTACCTGCAGCCACCAAAAACACCAGCAGCAGCCTCTGTGCTAGTCTGGAAACATGAACTCTTTGTTTTTCCTGCATAGGTGGCCAGCTCATACAGAATTCATCATCTCTAGCCACGTCCTTCTGCAGCAAGGAGGGAACAGATGAAGATCTGGTGATCCTGAAGGACTGTGTCTCTCTTGCAGCAGGCTGCTCCTCTCTCTCCTCCTGTTCAGCTGGATTTTGGCAGAAAATCAGGTACCAGTGAGGATGTCCAGGAAAAGGGAACATTGTGTATGAGTGTTATGGATTTGAATGTGCTTTTGGGGCAGCTAAGAGATGAAAACTCTCACTTCCAACACTTGAGCTGCAATCCCCAAGGTGCTGCTGCTGCTCCACAGGAGTCACAAAGACCAGGAGGATGGTGCCCTGGGAGCCAGGGCTGGAGAGCACAGGGGACAAAAAAAGCCACACAGAAGTAATGGAGGTTTTATCCAGGGAATTGAGCCCAGAACTGCCACTCTGGGACAACAAAAGAGATGTCAGAAGAGGGAATGGGGTGATCAGAGTCTCTGCTAATTGTGAGACTGCAGATTAGTACCTCCAGCATCTGCAGAGTCTGCAGCAACTTCAGGGGAAAAAAAAAAAGTAGCAAAATCAGCAACTTGACTATTTTAAAGCAATTTCTGCTTGCTGGCATTTCCCAGTGTCAGCTAGAGGTGACTGGAGAGATGTGCCAGGGACCAATGAGCCTCAGGGTTTGGTGGTGACCTGGCAGTGATGGGGCAAGGGTTTGACTTGATCTTAAAGGTCTCTTCCAAACCAAACCATTCTGTGACTCTCTGCAGACCCTGAGCATTAGCACAAGGGCTTGAACACACAGTTTAGAGCAAGAGTCACTCAACTGTTCAGGTGTCCAAGAGGCTGGGGCCAGACTCTGGTCAGTGGTGCCCAGGGACAGGACAAGGGGCAACGGGCACCAACTGGAACCCAGGAGGTGCCACCTGAGCAGGAGGAGAAACTTCTTTGGGGTGAGGGTGCAGAGCCTGGAGCAGCTGCCCAGAGAGGCTGTGGAGTCTCCTGCTCTGGAGAGATCCCCAAACTGCCCGGCTGTGACCCTGGGCACCCTGCTGTGGGGGAGCTGCTGGAGCAGAGGGGTTGGATGAGATGATCTCCAGAGGTCCCTTCCCACCCCACTGTGCTGTGAGTTTGTGATTCTGCAACTGCTCTTCAAAAAAAATCCAGAAGAAACCACTGAAAGCACAACAATTCCAGGACAGATCATTTGGATTGGCATCCCAAGCAGTCAGTGTGGGGAGCTGACCCCCCCCCACACCTCCTCTGGGTTACAACACATAATTATTACAGTTCCTCCTCCCTGCCAGGCAGCTCTGGACGGGCACAACCCCTCCCTGCACCAGGAGAGGCAAGAAACAGCAGGAAGAAAACTCCTCAGAACAATTCAGTGCTGCCCTGCAAACTCTGGCTCTCTGCCACAGCCCTCCTGCTCTTGGTGCCACCTCATTTTCAGAAGCAATCATTTGTATGTTCCTCTTCCCACCCCTCCCCGTCCTGGATGTCTCAACAGAGGCCTCAAGGTCTGCTGGGAAGTGAGGAGCAGCTGCTGAACTTCAGCTGGAAAACCAGTCCAGTGGGGCAGGTGTTTAAAGGCTGCAAATCCTCAAGTTTCAGCCCCGTTTGTAGATGTGGAAAGGAGCAGGGATGTGAAATTGTGACAGGATTGTGCACAAAAGGCAGAACCTGCATGACCACCCCCAAAGGAGGATTGCAAAACAGCCATCCCTTAAGTGTGGGTGAAGGAACTAACTGGGTAACACCAGGAGTTCACAGAATCAGGGGATTGTTTAGGTTGGAAGAGACCTTTCAGGTCATGGAGTCCAACCCCATCCCTGCCAGGTCCCCACTGCCCCGTGTCCCTCACCCCACATCTCCACGGCTTGGAAACCCCTCCAGGGGTGGGGACTCCACCACTGCCCTGGGCAGCCTGGCACAGCCCTGGGCAACCCTCCAGGGCAAGAAATTGTTCCTCAGGGACAACTGAAACCTCCCCTGGGGCAACTTGAGGCCCTTTCCTCTTGTCCTGTCCCTTGTTCCTTGGGAGCAGAGCCCGACCCCCCCCTGGCTCCAGGCTCCTGTCAGGAGCTGAAGATCAGACAGCTCAGGAGCCACACACTGAGCAGAGAGGAAAGAGCATGGACTGAATGGTCACTCTGGAGCTGCTGAGGAAGAAAACCCATCTTCAGCTCTGTGTGCTGAAGAAACCCACCCACAGCCTTTCCTACGGGTGGAGTTGCTGGGCTACCAACCCAAAACAACACTGCTTTGGTGCAACTTCCTGTGGTCTTGGGACAGGAAACAAAATTCTCCTACCAGGGAAATGCTGCGTGGGTCCTCACGGGGCTGAAATCTCTGTGCCACACAGAGCTGTCACCAGCCCCTGACAGGCTGCCCACAGGAGCTGTGCCTACACGTCATGGCACCAGGAACCACACGAGTGGGCTGCTGATCCTGAGGAAGAGGAGTGATGCTCTGACATCCTCTGGCCACCTCCTCAAGCCAGCTCATGTCCCCTCTGCTCACTCTGCTGTTTCTGAGCCCCTTCTGATCTGTTTTCTCTCATCTTCTCACTCTCTTGGCTTTGTGGTCTTGATGGTCAGCTTGGAAAGAGAAGACCCCCCCTCCCCATCTTTAGCTCCCTCCACTCAACCACTTCCACTTTCTGCCCTGGGATAAGAAGGATGTGGAGGGGCTGAGGAGGGTCCAGAGAAGGGCAGTGAGGCTGGTGGGGGGCTGGAAAACTGCCTTGTGAAGACTGGCTGAGGGAACTGGGGGTGTTCAGTCTGGAGAAGAGGAGACAGAGGAGACCTTATTGCTCTCTGCAACTCCCTAAAAGAAAGTTGTAGTGAAGCTGGTGGTCTGTTCTCCTAAATTCCTGATGATAGGATGAGAGGAAATGGCCTCAAGTTGCACCAGGGGAGGTTTCTTAGGAGGAATTTCTTCCCTCAGAGAGTGGTTGGGCACTGGAAGGGGCTGCCCAGGGAGGTGCTGGAGTCACCATCCCTGGAGGGGATCAAAAAATGAGTAAATGCAGCACTTGAGGATGTGGTCTGGTGGTTGGGGAGATGCTGGGATGGAGATTGGACTTGATCCTAAAGGTCCTTCCCAATCAGAGTGATTCTATGATTCTCAAGAAGTCCTTAAGCTTCTCTTCTCCACACCTCCTCATGAAACTTCTCCCTCTTTCCTCCCTCATCCTTTTCCCTCCCTTTGAATCTTGCTGTGCTGCAAAGCCCAATCTGAGGCAGCCTCCTGTTGTCAACCCACCTTGATCTCAGCCCATCAGAGGCTGCCAAGGCACTCCAAATTTAGCCTAATTCACCCTTATTTTCCAGCTCTGTACAGAAAGTCCCTGCGGGCAACTGAGCTCTGCCACATCTGAAGTTTCTTCACAGAGCTCTTCCAAACTCAACTTTCAAAGCCTTCAAATTGGGCTAAATCCAGAGGAGTTTGCAGCCAGACATCAGGAGGCAACATTGAAACCCCAAAACCTCCTTTCAGAGTATTAAATATTTGTTCTACAGCCACCAAGCACATGACTTGGAAAGGGGAAAAATAAAAGGCAACAACTGTTTGGCTCATTAAAGGAAATGGTTTCCCCTCCCCTGCACCAACCTGCCTCTTGGAAACAGAGGAGGCATTTAGTCAAAATTCTCATTAACCACCAGCAGCAGCTGATTTATCTCACTGTTAACTTCCCAGTTATGCAACTGGGGATGTTTGAGAACAATAAGCAGGTTTGTCACCAGCCCCCAGCCTGGCCCGGGTGGTGTCAGGCACAGGGACAGGAGTGCAGTGAGGCCACAGCAGTGAGAACCTTCCTCTGCCAGTGTCAGGAGATCACAGAGTCACCCCCGGCTGGGTGGGGAGGGGACTTTTG